CTAAACGATATGATAAGTCGATTAATAAACTGAACAAAAAAGTTACGTTTCACCAAGACGTAATATTTATCGCAAGTGCATCAAGGTTCCAAATTCCAACAGGAATAATTGCTCTCTTCAAATCAAATTCTTAAAAAATACAGCTGGAAATATACATGATAACTTCTACGTCATTTGGTCTCTGGTGTAGAGTTGTCTCATTGGCATTTACACCATCTCTTATTTTTATAAGAGGTTACAGGGTTGAGCGTTCACAAACAGGTTTAACCCCCACATTCTGTATGTGCCTGTCCCAAGCCCGGGGCCTGCAGTTCAGTGATTGTCGTAGGCGCAAGTCTGTCATATTTGTTTTTTTGTAAATCGTTTCTTTATAAATTAGGCCGTTAGTTATCTCATTTGAATTGTTTCACATTTTTCATGTCGTTGCGTTTGATAGCCGACTATACGGTATGGGTTTTTTCGCATTGTTTCAGGCCGTGCGGTAGTCTATAATTGCTTACTACCACTTAATTTGAAGTCTGGTGGATAGTTGTCTCATTGACAATCATACTACATCTCCTTATTTTTATAATTGTCATATTATATCTTTTAATTTTGATATAAACTCGTTTGAAGAGTTTATGATGTGGAATTGTAAGTGTTGTCCTTTATAGGGAAAATGCAGATTCATGAAGTTTGGTTTTCCTCAAATTTGACCTTGCGTGAAAGTGTTCTAAATTAAGGCCACTTTTGATGATCATGACTAAGTGCCATTTAATCTTTTGTTAAGAGTTTAAGATCAATACTTATTTTTCAATAACAATTTGTGAAAACGGTTATATATTACTTTCAACTTATTGTGCTGGGGCGGCAGTCCATTTTGTCCAGCTTAAAACCAGTATATAAGGTTGATAATGGGAAATAACTTGACTGTGAAAAAAGTGTATTATAACAAATTTAAATCGGTGATTGGCTAAAAGACTAATTGGAATGTATTTAGATTGAATCATTGATTGATGCTTGCTTTACAATGCATCAGCGCTAAAAGGCCATATGAGGGTCTGGATGGGGAGTCCTCCATTTCTGTATTCTTTAAATTTTTAGGTCTTTTTTCTTTATTTTTTATACTGTTTGCCCTTTATTCTCTAATCTTTATATTTTAGCACCTCATTATTCTCTATTCTTTATTTGTTTGGTTCATTTTTCTCTATTCTTTATATTTTTTGCCCATTATTCTCTTTTCTGTAAACCGCCCATCCACACCCTCCTATATCGCAGCGAGAGTTGTTAAATTTTATAACAATATTAGAATAACACTTTTATATGTTCTTATTGTTGTAATTACAATCCCGTCCTGTTTTCCCCGAATGTGACATACAGAATAAGACTTACATGAGCATCACGACGGATGCCTCATGTGGAGCAGGATCTGCTTACCCTTCCGGAACACATGAGATCACCCCCGATTGTTGGTGGAGTTCGTGTTGCTCAGTCTTTAGTCTTTTGGTCGTTTTCTTTATTTACCATGGTGTTGTCAGTTTATTTTCAATTCATGAGATTATATGTCCCTTTGATATCGTTCGCCTCTTTTTTTAAACAAACCAAATTGAAAATATCAATAAAACACAAAAAGGATAACAGGATTTTCTAAAAATATCTTAAACAGCACAACAGACCACATAGCCAGCAACATCCGGCTTCTCAATAAAATTACGTACAAACATAGAAAAACAAAAACGTACAGCGCATGATCAAGATAGTCAGCTGACTTGGTAAATACAAGTTGAGATTTCATTTTTGGTGTATAGGATACAACAGCGGTAAAAGATCAATCGAATATATGTATTTGTTTCATATAAACATAAGGAGATGTGGTATGATTGCCAATGAGACAACTATCCACCAATAAAATCCATAAAATGAAGTGGCTGTAAGCAATTATAGGCAACCGTACGGCCTTCAACAATAAGAAAACCCCATACCGTATAGTCGGCTGTAAAAGGCATGACATGAAAAATATGAAACAATTCTACTGAGAAAACCAATGGCCTAATTCATAACAAAACAATTTACGAAAAACAAATATGACAGACATGAACCAATGACAACCACTGAACTACAGGCTCCTGACTTGGGACAGGCACATAAATAATGTGGCGGGGTTAAACATGTTTGTGAGCGCTCAACCCTCCCCTACCCTGGGACAGTGGTGTAACAGCACAACATAAGAACAAACTATAAGAATCAGTTGAAAAATTCTTAACTCATCAGATCGATACAAAGAAAAAATCAAACAAAATCACAGACAGGACGTGGCAGAGTATATATCTATCCATCATCTCTAACAGCAACAAAAAAACACTAAGTACAGATGTGAGAGTACTCGCAGTTGCTGACAGCTAGTTCAAAGCCAATAACAACTAATAAAAAAATCGCATCTGTCGAGTAAACCTCTTATTCACTCCAAATTGTAAATAGTGCATCATCGCATATTATTAGTGGGCTTTCGAATTTAAAAATGACAATGCTGTCAAAAACAGACAGTAGGAAAAATACAGCGTGATTGCATATTTAAAATACAATATAAAATTCAAGTAGTTACTTTTGACAGTTATTGACTATGGGGTCATCATCAAGAACAACCAACGCACCATTAACTTATTTAAAGTACATATATATATTTTTTTTTAAATGTAAACTCAAGACATTTTTGTATTCAGAAGCAATAATGTTTATATTCATTGTTTAACAAGCTAAAATTGAGAATGGAATTGGGGAATATGTCAAAGAGACAACAACCCGACCAAAGAGCAGATAACAACCGAAGGCCACCAATGGGTCTTCAACGCAGCGAGAAAATCTCGCACCCAGAGGTGGCCCTCAGCTGTCCCCTAAATAAAATTGTGTACTGGTTCAGTGGACGTCACACTAAACTACAAAACATATAAAGGAACTAAAATTAAAAAAAACATACAAGACTAACAAAGGCCAGAGGCTCCTGACTTGGGACAGGCGCAAAAATGCGGCGGGGTTAAACATGTTTTGTGAGATCTCAACCCTCCCCTATACCTCTAGCCAATGTAAAACTAAGAAACACATAGCAATACGCACAGTAAAACTCAGTTTAAAAGAAGTCCGAGTCCGATGTCAGAATAGGTAACAAAAGAAACTAAGCAAAATGACAATGATACATAAATTAACAAAGGACTACTAGCAGTTACTGACATGCCAGCTCCAGGCCTCAATTAAACTGATTGAAAGATTATGTCTTCATCATATGAAAATCAGGTACAATCCCTCCCGTTAGGGGTTTAGCATCATACCATCATAAAATATATGAGAAGAACATAACCCGTATCATGCCAACAACTGGTTTTAGAATAAATGTGTTTATTTCCGATGCAAAGACCCTATGAGTGAATCAATATTAATACCAAAATATGCAATCCTTACTGATCCGACAACAGTATCGTAACTATACCCCATCCGAATAAGTCTGTTTAAAGTTTGGTTAGCCTTTGAGGTGAATGCCTACATTTTTGTGCTTTGTAAAGAATATTACCATAAAATATTGGATGTGAAATACCTGAACGTATATGATGTCTGCATGTTGATTTATATTTACGAATGATGTCCTTGTACCAATGATGAAATTAAGTAAATGTTTTGACTAGTTTGTGATATCGAAAACCCTGGTAAAATAATTTTTCAGTAATACAGAGATTTCTTTCGTTGAAATCAAATACGTTGTTACATACACGAGCGAATCGAACAAGTTGAGATATATAAACACCATAAGATGGGGACAAGGGAACGTCACCATCTACAAATGGATAATCAACAATAGGAAATGAAAAATCATCTCTTTTATCATAAATCTTGGTATTAAGCTTCCCGTTAAAGATATAGATATCGAGATCCAGGAAAGGGCAGTGTTCATTGTTAGTATTAGCTTTATTTAAAGTCAGTTCGGCAGGATAAATCTCTTTAGTGTACATACTGAAGTCGTCATTATTGAGAGCCAATATATCATAAATATCTAAAAGTGTTATTAAATTTTTGAAACAGATGTTGTTTCGATGGGTCTTTGCTGATTATAGTCATAAATTGTAATCCATAACAATACAGAAACAGGTCCGCAATAAGTGGTGCACAGTTAGTTCCCATGGGAATTCCGATAACCTGAAGATATACGGAATCTTCATAGCGAACACAAATGTTATCTAGTAAATATTCAAGGGCAGTTATGGTATCAAAGCAGGTCCAATTGACATAGTTCTTGTGTTTGTTGTTACTAAAAAATAACCTAAAAGAGTTCGAACATATATATTTGCATTCCGACTTTTTAAATGCCCATTTAATCAGGTGTCTTAATAAGATTATGGGGCAAAGTGGTATATAGGGTAGAAAAATCAAAACTTTGAACAGATTCAAAATCACCAATGTAAGCATGCAATTTATCAAGTACTTCCAACGAATTTTTGACACTCCAAAAGTAATTAATTCCACTATTTTCAAAGGCCTTATTTGAACAATTTATTACCAAGTTTTTGATCGTACCAAGTGTACTAGTAAGTAGAACAGATAGTTTAGTAGTGGTACAATGGCTTGAAGATGAAATTAATCTATATTTGTAAGGAGTTTTGTGCAGCTTCGGAAGCCAGTACATAGTTGGAACTTTCATTGTATTTGGTTCTGCATTGTAAAGAGGTAGCTAAAAGTTTATGTTTATTACAGATGTCATTTTCCGAAAATGGAGTCAGTTGGAATGTTGGTGAATTCGTGATTTCCTTTTTTAGAACCTCAATGTAAAATTTACGTCAAACAATAATGATATTGTTAGCAGCCTTATCAGCCGGGACAAAAACAAATTCCTTCGCGAGTTCTTTTAGCTTATGTTTGATACGAGAAAGTGGGCTATTATGGTTGTTGTTAGGAGTAAAATGTTCTTTAAAATGTTGAATACGTATATCAACTATGTTCATTATCGAATTAAAAAAAAGAATCTAATGATTTCTTGTCAGCTTTTTCTCGTTTTATCCATTTAGAGCAGTAAGTACGGAGTGAGTCGTGGATGTCACTGATATAATTTAACATCTTTTATTACACACTTCGCTGTAATTAGACACATATTTCCGGGTAGATTTTTTGTAAACACAACAAATATGAGGGAGTTCAGTATTATCAAAATTGCCAGGAATTGGTTCTTTAACAGAATGATCATTAAGTTCTCTCTAGATAGTATATGCTATTAGTAAGGTTATTGCCACAGCTACTATGGTTCCTGCTAAAAGCGAGCTATAAAACATACAAGTCCTGTCTTTAGACAATTTTCTTTTCTTGTGCGATTCACTCCCGACAGACTGGAAAAAGAAAAAAGAAAAATTCAAGCACATAAAATGTTCTGATGTATAAAATCTTACTGACTGTAAGGGCATCTTCAAAATTTGAATTACGACTTTTCATTGTTTCATGTTCGTTCATATACATATCATGTTGAAAAACGAATGAAAAAGAGACAGTTTAGGGGTCGACTATTTGATATTCGGGAGGAAGGGGAGGATGGCAAGAGAATTGTTCCGGATTGGTCATCTGCTGCGACGTATGCTTAATTGTTTTTTCGCTTTCACTTTTGAACACATTTATATCCTCAACTATCCTGCATTTTATATTGCAGAATATTCATTTTCATCCTGCCTTGTCTTGTGCAAAGTCATTTAATTTCAGTTTTTACCAGGTCAAGTTATTCATTTTCAAATTCACTCCTGCCCCCTGTCCACCCTCCCCGAATATCAAATGGTCTCCCCCTTATTACTGATGAGCAAATTGAAATTATTGAAATCATGCTAATTAGGATATTTTGAACTAAATTAATAGACCAATTTGCTTATATGTTTTTATTCCATTTTCGCCTTTGTATAAATGCATTGGGAGCAGTAAATTTGATAGGATGATAGAGTCTGAATAGGGTCTGTCTGAACGGGGGTCCTTTATTTCTGTATTCTTTTAGGCCATTTTTCTCTATTCTTTATATTATTTGCCCATTAATCTCTATTCCTTATATTTTAGCACCTCATTATTCTATATTCTTTATTTTTTGGTCCATTTTTCTCTATTCTTTATATTTTTTGCCCATTATTCTCTATTCTGTAAACCCCCATCCACACCCTAATAATACCACCGACCATGGGCAGTGTAATCCTGTCATCGAAAGATTAAGAGAACAATTTAATATTTTAAGTTACAGTAGATATTCCTCAATGAGACAGCAACCCAACGTAACACAAAAACATTTAGCTATAAACAGTCAACAGTTTTGTTTTGAGCGTCAAAGCTTTCTCAATAATGTTTCATTTTAAACGAAGATTAGACTGAGTAAAATCATTGATGTCAATAAAAGTACTTTTTCCTTTAGAACAAAGTTGAAACTCCCTCAAGAAAAGTTGATGTTAGACGAGTTTTACTGTACAGTTTGACATTTTAATATTTTTACAACGACGGATGCCACATTCTGCTTACTCTGCCGGAGAACCTGAGGTCACCCCCTGTTTTTAGTAGGGTTCGTGTGTCTAGCTTTCTATGAAGCTTTTTGTACACTACTGTTTGTCTTTTGATCTTTTGATCATTTCTGTTTTTTTTTTTTTTTTTACATGACATGGTCAATTTTTCTTCGGCTTACAAATTTGATTATCATTTTCATATCTTTTGGCTCTCTTTTTCAAACTTTTGATCTCGAACGTACCTGACAAAGGTGGATCCTGAAACACGTATTGTGCGCACATAAACCATATAGTTTTTTCTTCTTCTATGAATGACACTGTGCCTAATATTTTAGATAATACCTGTAATAGATTACCTTTTCTTTGATGTTCTTAAGTTCTTTATTTGTATGATAAGATGTAATAAATGCCTTTCCATCATGGTCTTGAACGGAGATATTCTCTACTACTTTTCCATGCGGAGAAATATAAACATGCTGAACTGTTCGCCGGAACTGAGATAGCCATGGTGCACTTGTAGCTTTTGATTTCATATCAAAATGGCCGTAGTTTGAATGCAAAGCAAATCCGTCTTTATCGTACTTGCTGCCTTCTTTGAGCCAATCGTTTGCCTTTACAAAAATGAAATTGCTTTGTCCAGGAAACGACGAATATGATAACGTAGAATCAAATTTGTATTTTGGTAGTTCTTCGCTACTTATGTTTGTTTCTGAATACAAATGTATATTGGGTTTAGTATCACCAGGCTTTATTTTATCGTTTACCGGTACGTTTTTATTTCCTTCAGTCGTGGTAGGTTTTGTTGAATCAATGGAAAACTTACCCATACTAACCTCGGTAGCAGACGGTTCGGATTCAGATTCTTGTGATTCCGTCGACGATTTAATCAAACTTTGATATGAATCATCAGAAGTGGAAGTATCGTCAACACTTTCGTTCACCCGGCTGTTGTCTGATATATTCGTCAGACAAGCATAACATGGATGCTCGATTTTTATTAATGGTTTTGTTATTTTTCCGTCAAAACTGTATCCGATGTCAGTTCTTGATTCATCCGCAGCTTTCAAACTGAGATTTTTATCATGATGTATGTCTTGCTTTTTCCCATCTTTTCGTAAACATGGTTTAATTCCTTTTTCTGTAATTTTAGTAACTGGCGAATGCACTTCTGCAGTAGTTTGTGTTTTATTTAGATGAGCTTTTCCATTAATGTTTTGCTTAAGTTGAAATTGATCACTGACAGTCTTTTCTCCGCGTTCATTTTCAGTGGATTTAGCATCACGGCTCAGTTTTTCTTTTTCATTTTTGAAATTTCCATTAACATCAATTGTCGTGATATTTTCATAAATACGAAAATTATCAAAATCAAATTTAGATTCTACGCTATTGATGATTTCCGGTTCGTCACAAAATTCAACAGATCGTCTGCTTCTTGTTGTCATTGTTTTCACATGGTACTTCGAAAAGTTTTCCTAAAAAAATATTGTTTATAAAAATTACGCAAATACTATATAAGACACTTAAAAAATCAACCAATGAACGAGTGAAGAGTATTTTATTTGTAATTTCTTTCTTAACATACATTTTAAAGATTTTGGTTGCTTAACGTCCAGTGGCAAATAATAATATATTATCAGGACGAGAACCAATTAACAATATGTACAATAGGTAACTTAAAGGCCGTCTGGGATGAAGGTCGAGGAAATTTTGGACTGCCACCAGAAAATGGGAGTACTTAATTGGATAGGGACAGATATTTTACTTTGCAACAGACCACCTACGGACCCCTAAAATAGTTCTTGCAAGGGTTCGGAACCTACAAAGAGTGTTGCACTCTCTCTTCACGAGGCGTCAGATTTAACGTCCCCATTCTGACCGGACGTGGCTGAGTACTGTGCATCCCGCACAGCCTAACGGACGCTCCACTTTGGCAAAGGTTTTACGGCCGGTCGGATGAAGACCAAAGCGAACGTTTTTTTTTTTTATTTTAAAGTCACCCTTTGGGATATAGATCAATAAACTACACGTATTAATTTTAAAGTATCTATCGAGACTCTTTTCCATATTTATTAACGCGATGTCAACTTTTTATTATTTTTGTTTATTAGCATTTTACACAAATTTTCCATTGCATAGATTGTTTTGTTCTTCGATGTTGCTGTACACACTGTAACCGGGTTTTTTTTTATCCATATAACTAGATACTTGCTGAAGAATTGTAATTATTAAACTTCTTCATTTTTTTGTAAATTGGAGATTTAAAAAATGTATCTAAATTATGATAATGAAACTCGCAAAATTAAAACCAAATATCAACCATGGGAAGCGCATGGAATGGTTGTTCTTGCATCACAGCTTTTGGGTTAATAGTAAACTTATTTGAAGTTCCGAATGAATTCCACCTTCGGAAGATTTTTCTACATTTGCTGTTTAAAAGTTTTTAGTTAGCGATTATTCAATCAACAGCTATGTTTGCCTAAACTAGCTTACTGAAGCAGCGAGCTTATTTTGACTCTCCCTTAAGCGCCCTTTTATTTCCTGGTGATGGTCATTCCGTTAGTAGCAGGACTATGAAGGTTTTTTAATTGTGTGTTGTACTTTTTCGTCACATGATCTAGATAGGCAACCGAGCAATTTTGTGCGCACGTTTACTGGTTTTAAGGATGTTCGCTTATCATGTTTTTGACTTTTGTCAGGTATTCGGAATTCTCTGGTTTTATCCATGTGGTGCCATTAAAAAATTTGCCCACTCACCCCTATTTTTCTTTTCATAATTCTATTACATATAGCTTAAAAGCCCATTTTGGAAAATTTTGTCAAAGCCTTGTTATTTTTTTATGATTTTTTTAAAAAAAGGTACCAAATTCATGTTAAATGTATGAAAAATCTGGCAAAATTTTCAATAGCTTATATCTAAAAATCAAGGACAATGATCTAAGGCTTGCCTTATTTTCTGATTTGTTAGTTAATTTATAACAGTATTTTAAAATGCTTGTTATTTTGAAACAGAGTAGTGAACATCCTTAACCCTCCACAGTTTGTTCCTGTACTAAATCAGGCTAAATGAATGTATCTAGAAGTACTGTTCGTCTTTGCTTTTCTTTGATTGTGTGTATGTTTTCGGGTGTTTTTAGTTGGTATGGTCTGTAGTCCATGTCATAAAATTAAAATTCATAAAATTGAGAATGGAAATGGGGAATGTGTCAAAGAGACAAAAACCCGACCAAAGAGCAGAAAACAGCCCAAGGCCACCAATGGGTCTTCAACACAGGGAAAAAAATCCATCACCTGGAGGTGGGCTTCGGCTGGCCCCTAAACAAAAGTTTGTACTAGTTCAATGAAAATGGACGTCACACTAGTTCTTATAATCTGTATTGTTCATTTAACATTTGTTTTAAAAATGAAAACGCTGAGATAACACCAATATCTCAAGAAAAGGTTGACGACGACTTTTTGTGTCGACTTAAAGTCTACTGATATTATACTTTTCAAATGGAACGCATACTAGTATACTTGAATTTGACGACAATTAGACGACTAATGGTTTGCAAACACTTTTTTATAAATCATTTGTGTTTTTTAATAATAGCATTACTACTAATAATCTGCCAAAATTAATGCACAGATTCAGTTTAATCTGGTATAATGATTGCTTGGACGAGAACGACATAGCAAATTCAATTTATTGGAAGTTTAAAATAGCATAGAGTCTTAATGCTATATAAAAACGCCATGTACTATGTATAAATATTTAAAATGAATGTGTTGTGACATAATTGACTTTCACACGAGAAAATTGTCTAAAATCTTCAAAATTTAGTTATGACTGTTTTTTGTTGGTTAAATCATTAATTCGTGATAAACCTGGTAAAATTATAAATGTGTGAAAAACACGTTTTGGTATATATCAGACGCTATGTGTGGGCTAGATTGTGTGAGAAATTTTGGAAAATAAACAAAAGATACCCGTCAAGTGAAATAATGTGAAAAATTTTTAAAAAAATGTGGTTCTCGTTATCGTTATCGTTTCTTGTTTGCTTCATTCTTTTATTCATTATCTAAAAGTCAGAGTAAAAGACCAGGCTATTTGTGATTTTTAGACAGAGAGCGCATGTTAGACAGGGAGAGTTTTTTTTTTATCTTAAATAGCTCACCTACGTATCCCTGGAAGAGCTATTATAATATTGCATAGAACAATAGATTATTCCAACACGGGTCATCGGATTTACCAATCGGACTTGGCTGTGTATTTATACTGCATTGCTGTCTATCAGACCTCGGCCCTTTTCCCAAAGAGCACGCGTCAAAATGCGCAAAGTGCAAGTGGATGTATTCTATAACTTACTAGTAATTAGTTCTTGTTCGGAAGTTTGCTTAAGGTGGTATTTAAGTCTAGAAAATGCGAGATTTTTCTTAAACCTTGCACAGTTGATCCCTGCAATATGTACATGGAACATATAAAAAATGATTGGGGGGTCACCGGTCATATAGGAGAATAAAATGGACCTTAAAAAATCATACATTGTAGCTTAGTTTGTATAGATATATAGTGAAAATAGTCACCTTCAAGTCGTATTCATTTTAAAAAAAAAACACATGATAGAAATTGCTCATTTTTCAGTTGTGAAGTACTTGTATTATAAGCTTTTAAATTTGCACAAGAAGTTTGAAATCTTATTGTATAAATGATTTTGAAAATATCGCTTTTGGCAAGTGTATCATTGTCGCTTTTCCTTTTCGACTCATAATTTGGATTGCATATATCTTTTAACTTTCTGATTACAATGTAGGTAAATTTTCATCAATTTTTCATCAAATTAATGTTATTAAATTGTATATTGATTTGTAATAAAACTTACTTACCTTTCAGATCTATCTCATTTGAAATATAACTTGAAATGACATGCTCATTTCGAATTCCCGTTATAGCGTTAACTGTATGTTCCAAATAAAGAAGATAGCATATTTAGATACTTATGAACAGAATGTAAAATATTGTCATACAAATGAAAATAACAAGAAAACCAACCCACGTCTGTACGCCTCATCCGAAGGGCAAATTGTTTTAAATTGAATATACCTTGTTACATTGACGACCTGGCACACACTCTAGATATGTTTAAATGTTCTCTCTATCTTAATTTCAATCTTAAGAGTGACATTGTACATTTAAAATTGGACTTTCAAATGCACCAGTAAGATTAAGCCTTCTGGCTAGACGACAGTATTGTCACTATCTGATTTGTCAAAAATAAAAAAAAAACCTTTAAGCTATTTAATGTAAAAGAAAAAAGTGAATTCTTTACATTGCTGCATTGACAACTGTACTGTAACCCTCACTGCATTTCCGAAAAAAAAACTGTTATAAATTGGCGAGGGTATATGATATATTTACGTTTTTTAAACAATATTTGATTGTATTATTAAGATAATAAACAAAAGGAAGTGATCTAAATTTATTTGATAATATGAGATTTAGTTTGTTTAATTTATCAATGTAAATGTATTCAAAATTAGTTATATCCTGTACACCTTTTATCATGTTTTAAAAACAAATTTAGGGCATTTTAAAATTATACATATTTTATAATTTCTTCACGATATTTAATGTTTATCAAACATACATATGATCCCGCTTCCTATATGTCTGTCGGGAAAGCAAGAAAAAGAGTAAAAAAAACAGAACCATATATATATATATATTGTACCAGGTTAGGGGAGGGTTGGCGCCTCGCCATATTCTGTATATGCCTGTCCCAAGTCAGGAGCCTGTAATTCAGTGGTTGTCGTTTGTTGCTGTATATCATATTTGTTTTTCGTTCATTATTTTGTACATAAATAAGTTCGTTAGTTTTCTCGTTTGAATTGTTTTGCATTTGTCATTTCTGGGTCTTTTATAGCTGACTAAGCGGTATGGGTTTTATTCATTGTTGAAGGCCGTACGATGACCTATAGGTGTTAATTTATGTGTTATTTGGTCTCTTGTGGAGAGTTGTCTCATTGGCAATCATACTACATCTCTTATTTTTATATGAATCTGATTCGAAAAATAGAAAACATTTGTGAACAAAAAGAGGCAGAAGACGAAAAGACATACAAAAGTCCACAAGACACTATAACAAAAAAGTCGCATGTGCTCTGGAAAGGTAAACAGATCCATATGTGGCACCCGGTTTGATTAATGTGGGGATTTTTTGTTGTTGTTTTTGTGGGTAGTTTTTGTAATCGCTGGATCAATTTAAAAGCCTGCGTGCACATGTATTCTGTAGCTACATCTCAATAGGACAACTAAATTTTAGCGGGTAAACCTTAAAAGTTTATTAGATTAAAAAAAAGAAATAATTCAATCCTTATCAACTTTTATTTCTTTCACTTATTAAAACAAACAAATATTTCTCAATCACCTCATTGACATGTGTTATGTACTTAAAAACTAACAATACAAAGATACGATACAAACATAATTATGTACTTGTACATTGTAAGCCCCACAGCGAATACGAACTGTTTATGCATATAGTAGAATGAACAATAAAAAGACTATCTTTATTACTTATGAATTTCATAAGGCTGAATTTTATTCCTCATATTTGTTAAATTTATTGCCTTTATATTATACCCAAATTGTAATGTATTCGTATTTTATAATGATAGATAGTAAAAAGTGTCAATTTGGCATATGTTTAGTGTTTTTTTTTTCACAATACAAAAATTAACAATGATAAGTGTATCCCGCAGATTTTATTTTAATTCTTTTCTGCAAAATGTCTATAATTGCAATGTAATGTATGGATGTACTAAATTTTAATAATTGACTTTCAGAAAGTAAATAGAAATAGCAATACTACATTTGTACGTATATATTGGAGAAGTAAGGGAGAACGGATTGATGTATTTTCAATTTATTGAACGACAACCACTGCCAAATCTATGGATGACTGTCAGTCATTGCAAGCAGTTCTAAAAACGGTGCGCAATCTCAGACGACGTTTTGATTTTTCTTGTTTCTTGTTATTTTTCTTGTTTTTTCTTTTTATTATTTTAAAATTTTATTTTGAGCACTTTTAGTGTTCGGCTTTAGATTTAAGATAATTACTACAGTTGAAGCATCCCCGGCGTTAACTTTGTTAATGCATTGCTTATATTGGGAATAGCTAATTAAATGTTCACCTTGCAACACACCAGTAATGGATTTTGCAAAACTCGGACATTTTTAAATATTTCTTTTACTGCTAATTGTCATAGTTACATGTAGTTGTATTGTAAATTTTGTAACATAAATATTATGATATATTTTTATTATATTTATAATATACTGTAAGCCTACAAAAAACATGTCAGATATAATGGTTTCCATTTAAGGTTGTGACCAAAAATTGGGTCGCTTGAACCTACTGTTCATGACGCGTACGTAGTATAAACACAATATAAAAACAGTACTTGAAATCCCGAACTCAAAATTCAGAGGAAAATATAAAACAACTTGAAGGCAACCTTTACATACAAACACGTGAGTGACAAATTATAAGTCAGAAAGTCGCCAAAGATAAAGCGAAAAAATGGACACCATAATACATGTGTTTTAATGAAAACTAAACCTCTTTAATCATTTATGAATATCTTTCCCTTTTTATGTTCATCGCTTCATACCTGAGAAATCAAGTTAGCTTATTAAACAGTTTGTTTCATATTTCGTCATATCGTGTCTATTTATAACTGACTACGGTATGGGTTTTGCTCATTATTGAAGACCGTATAATCCTATAATTGTTTAAATCCATGTTATATTGACTCTGTTGGTAGTTGTCTCATTGCAATCATACCACATCTCTCTTTATTCTATATAACCAATTCATTTTTAAATACAAAAAACTTGACCCAAGGTTTGGCTGAGGTATAGAAATATGGTCACCTTGACTTCTCCCAACCGGAAGTAGAAACCCATGCGTCCGTTTGGCTGTACGAGATGTATTAGAACGCAGTCACTTCCGTTCGAAATAGGGACGTTAAATCTAATTCCTCGTGTAATGAAAGCATTGCGCTCTCTGCACGTTGAAGAAATCTTGCAACAGATATTTGAGGAGTCTGTACTTGGCATGTTGCAAGGTACAATGTTTGCCTATCTAACATACCCTTTTAGCCAGTGGCTTTCTAAAGTATAATGCCTTTGTCCGGTTGACCCAATTCAGAATCCGTTTTAAGATTTGTTTATAAAAAAAGTCCTGGATGCATGAAATATGTTCCACTGGATGTTAAAACAACAATGTATCAACCAATATGACATGACTTTATAGAGAAATGAAAGTATTTAGCAATTACCGGTAAATGATCATGAAATTTCTTTGTAATGAACAAATGTTTGAAAATACATAAAATATAAAAACAGGATATGGAAAACTAAGATATATATTACTTTTAAATCGGAAAAAAGGTGACGCCATCATATTTCATTTTTCTAAAAACTCTGTTGAGTCGACTTCGGGTGAATAAAATGAGGTAAGGGTTTTAAGTTAGAGACATCAACAAAACGACACAGAAAAGATATCAGGGGGTCGACTGATAAGTCCACATATTATTCAGGTTTTGCTGTGTCTTAAATTCCTAAAATAAACGACCCGTGCAATGCACAAAAATGTACATTGCAGATTACATTCAAAATGGCGATTATACATGTTCCAGGACAATACATTATAATGTTTACTGTAGGATAAACAGAAAGAAAAAAACGGAGTCAACTTTATCTTTATTTTGTGAAAGTTTAGCAACAAAATGTTTGTTACGTCGTATATATGAATATATAACATTGTATAAGAAGTATTGTCCGAATATACATGTATTAAAAATAGATACCTCACAAACAAATTGAGTAAATAAAAGTTTTACTTTTTATACACCAGCAGATGTACACATACTAGTCAGTAAAAAAACTGTTCACTTTTTACATTTTCATTTAATCATTATTTTTTCGGAAATGAGTTATTTTCTCCCTACTGCCCTCAAACATAGACGGAAAACTTTGTTGGAAGGATCCGTCATACAGTCGTAGGTTGTATCGTATCCGTACAGTTGTCCACACATTTCACATGTCTTCTCAAATTCCTCGAGCGAATGACTATTAGGTTTATTTCTGCAATGTTAAGTATTTGTAAGTATATAATATATGTTACAAATAATACATAAAAGGATAAAACGAATTATTGAAATTTTGGACAGCAAGTAAACTTTTAAGTACATGTATTAGAAATATCCTTCCAATCAAGACTGCCTAGGATTTTTTACCATTATTATTTTTTCAAAAGTTTGTCAAATGATAAAAAGAAACAACTACATGTATTTGTCGTGATTTTGCCGATATAACTATGGACTAATTGTCGTAATTATAACATATAATATTGATACATGTATTTTTTCCAATAAACACATTACAAAAAACTTGGAAAGTACAACACACAACACGTGTTAACAACATCCGACTCCCATAAAAAAAATAGACGTAAAAAAATACAAACAACAACGAACAACACATAATCCAGATAGTTTTACTGTGTACATGCACACAATTTTTCGGGGTTAAGGTTCATCATAACAAATGGAAATAAAATGGCCGTATTAACGCCCCCAAAATTACTCTGAGTACAGACTTACCTGTCCAGTTTGAAAAGTTTTAAGGCCTGGCACCCACTAGATATATAAAAGGTAAATGCATTTTGTGTTTCAGAAAGATATAATCTTTTTTTTGATTTTGATTGGCATTTTTTTTTCCTTTCTGCAGAAGTTGTAAAAATAAACAAACACCTGAATTGCTTTGATACTATCCACTCAGTAAAACCCTTTAACTCACCTATAGTTGTGTAGATATCTATTGTCTGTCTATTGTCTATGTCAATCAAGGACAATCAATACTTTTTACCTGAGAGGAAGCATCTCAAAGTTGTATCCCAGCTTAGTTTATTTTTACATATTCCGGAGGAATGAAAAAAAATGCCCATCAAAATCCAAAAAAGATTTTATCTTTCTGAAACTCAAAATGCATTTAACTCTTATATATCTAGTGGGTGCCAGGCATTAAAACTTTTCCAACTGCACAAGTTGGTCTGTACTCAGAGTAGTGTTTGAGGTGGAAATACAGCCATTTTTGTCCATTTGTTATGATGAAGCAGTTTCAAGTACGCGCAACCCCTTTCCTGTCTTTACCGTAAATGTAAAGCAGATAATACAAACCTCCACAGGTCAGCTAACAACAGAATGACCACTAACATGAACAAGGAAATGAAGAACTTGTTCTTACGAGTACTTTAAAGTGAAATTTTCATCTGCTACATGTAGTATTTAAGCTAACTTTAAATAGGCAAAACAATGATTTAATTTTACTTTGATTATAAAATTGAGGTGATGTGGTGCCAATGAGACAAGTAACCACCAAAGTCCAAAGGAAGTGGATGGAAGCAACTATACATCACCGTACGCCTTTCAAAAATCAGCAATACACATACCGTGTAGTCAGTTATTAAAGTCCCTGACATCCGAAAATTAAAAACATTTCCAGCGAGAAATCAACGGCTTTATTTTGTCAATAACAATTAACGAAAAAAAAAAAACCCAAATATGACAGATATAGCAACCAACGACAACCACAGAATTACCGTAATCTGCACAAAACATTTAGTTGTTGTGATAATTTACGTTTGGTACTCCAATCTGTGTATCTTTTTACTAGGGTGCTAGGGGCCGTCTTAAACTTTCAGTCAGGTGAGAGTTTTTTTTTTGCTCCGTGTTGAAGGCCTCACTGTGACTTTGAGATGAAGAACAGCAACATAAGCGCTGTTCCTTTGCTTTTTGTGTGTTTGTTTGCTGTTCATGTACTTATTTTGTGTCATGGATGGATACCCTATATCCTTTGTTTTTCTATTAAGTGACGTAGGACTGTGATTTGTTTAGAAAATTGTGTACTTTTTTCTGAAACTATTGTACAAATTATGATTGCATGTTAAATGTTGTTGTTATAACAAATTTATATTTAGAAATCTGAGGACTACCTTAAAGGGTTTAACTGAGTGGATAGTATCAAAGCAATTCAGGTGTTTGTTTATTTTTACAACTTCTGTAGAAAGGGAAAAAAAAGGCCCATCAAAATCCAAAAAAGATTTTATCTTTCTGAAACTCAAAATGCATTTAACTTTTATATATCTAGTGGGTGCCAGACATTAAAACTTTTCCAACTGCACAGTTTGGTCTGTACTCAGAGTAGTGTTTGAGGTGGAAATACAGCCATTTTTGTCCATTTGTTATGATGAAGCAGTTTCAAGTACGCGCAAACCCTTTCCTGTCTTTACCGTAAATGTAAAGCAGATAATACAAACCTCCACAGGTCAGCTAACAACAGAATGACCACTAACATGAACAAGGAAATGAAGAACTTGTTCTTACGAGTACTTTAAAGTGAAATTTTCATCTGCTAGTATTTAAGCTAACTTTAAATAGGCAAAACAATGATTTAATTTTACTTTGATTATAAAATTGAGGTGATGTGGTGCCAATGAGACAAGTAACCACCAAAGTCCAAAGGAAGTGGATGGAAGCAACTATACATCACCGTACGCCTTTCAACAATCAGCAAAACACATACCGTGTAGTCAGTTATTAAAGTCCCTGACATCCGAAAATTAAAAACAGTTCCAGCGAGAAATCAACGGCTTTATTTTGCCAATAACAATTAACGAAAAAAAAACCCAAATATGACAGATATAGCAACCAACGACAACCACAGAATTACCGTTATCTGCACAAAACATTTAGTTGTTGTGATAATTTACGTTTGGTACTCCAATCTGTGTATCTTTTTACTAGGGTGCTAGGGGCCGTCTTAAACTTTCAGTCAGGTGAGAGTTTTTTTTTTTGCTCCGTGTTGAAGGCCTCACTGTGACTTTGAGATGAAGAACAGCAACATAAGCGCTATTCCTTTGCTTTTTGTGTGTTTGTTTGCTGTTCATGTACTTATTTTGTGTCATGGATGGATATCCTATATCCTTTGTTTTTCTATTAAGTGACGTAGTACTGTGATTTGTTTAGAAAATTGTGTACTTTTTTCTGAAACTATTGTACAAATTATGATTGCATGTTAAATGTTGTTGTTGCATGTCTATATGTACTTATGCATTATAACAAATTTATATTTAGAAATCTGAGGACTACCTTAGCTGTTTTAACTTGCGTCTGAACCTATTTGTTTCACGTAATACCAAACAAAATACGTTTAAATAATAAACCATTATCCTCAAATTCTATTTATATCTTCATATAAGTATCTTGCCATTCGTATCTACTATTTTTAAATTGTTAACTAAAAGTGTTATATTTAAGTTATACCACCTAGCTAAATGTTAACTTTCAAGTATACGTCCTGGGAAGTAAATTTTTATAAAGGCTTTATTGATTATTGTTTGCTTTACGTTCAGTAGGAAATATTTCATTTCGGAGGTGAACAATTTAAACAATAATTCTAAAAGGGAGATCAACGGGAACCAAGGACGAGATAATTTGGACTTCAACAGGGAAAAGGGTATTGTTGTCCAAGAGCAAATAGTTTCCTTCAACAGATAACTTAATAACAATCTTCAAAGTAGAAGCGTACTTATTTGTGATATAAAAAAAAAGAAGATGTGGTATGATTGCCAATGAGACAACTCTCCACAAGAGACCAAATGACATAGAAATTAACAACTATATGACACCGTATGTCCTTCAACAATGAGCAAAACCCATACTGGCCGCATGGTCAGCTATAAAAAGCCCCGAAATGACAAATGTAAAACAATTCAAACGAGAAAACTAACGGCCTGATTTATGTACACAATAATGAACGAAAAACAAATATGACATACAGCAAAAAAAAGGACAACCACTGAATTACAGGCTCATGACTTGGGACAGGCACATACAGAATGGGGTTAAACTAGTTAATACTTTATTTTTATCTAATAAGACTGTCAGAAGCAAAATTGAAACAATATCATACCTTAAGCTAAAACGACTATAAAAAAATGGCGGAAGATAGCAATGGACAATATAATTCATGTCAAAGAGAAACCAACAAAAGTCATTTCAAATAATGACAAAGAACGAAATGACAAATAACAGCCTAAAACACTACACAAAGAATTAATTAAAGATTGAGAAACATGAACCCCGCCAAAAATGGTGACGAAATTATTTACGTATAAAGAATAGAATATTCAATTTTAGATTTTTGTCTCTTGATACATTTGTATTAAATAAAATACTTAATACAGAATATTTAAAACTTACCTTCGAACTAGAGTTTCCAGCGGATTCCCTGATGAAATATTTGTCAATAACTGTGTGATCAAGAAACATATAACGATTAAAATGCCCTGAAATGGTAAAACACCATAATTTAAAATTACTCTGTTTTAGTTTTATGCTGCATCTCAGACGAATACCCGAAATCACCTTTATCATAGGTAAGAAAAATGTACCTTTTAGTATTTTTTCATTCAAAATTGACAACAATCGCAAGGCATTCAAAAATTGTATTTTATTTTCAAACAAAATGCAGCATTTATTACTGCACATTTACATTTTTTGTTTAGATGGTGGGGGTGGGGGTGGGGAAGGGCAATTATATACCCCTTCCCTATCCTATGTTATAATCGGCTTTGTCATTCAAATAGTATTATCAGAGAGTGTCTTGTTGCAGGTAAACTTAAAACTCTAAAGCAATTTTATGTCTAAATAGCTAAATTATATAGATGTTTAAGAAGATTCCGTAATTTTGAATAACTCAACAGTCACGAGGCATTCCAAAACTGTATTTTATTTTCCAACAAAATGCAACATTTATTACTGCATGTTAACATGGTTACATGTATAGCATAAAAATATAATTATTAGAAATAATGCTCATTTTCGTTTTATAGGATTTTAAAAGCGATGATCGTGTGCACATTTTTGGTATGCAACAGTGCGCTTCGGTCAACGCTTTTACACTCGAATTAAATTGAGAAAAGAAGCATTCAGTTCTTTAATAGTTCTATAGTTTTTGTCTTTTTTGTTTAAGAGGCACGCCTCCGAATAAAATGCCAAAGTTTCTTATTTTTTTTTAAATTTATAATCAGATTTTTTAATTCAAATTCAATAAATAGAATATAACAGTAGCATTTGTATTCAGTAAGGTCCCCCTTTTTCATAATTTTACATAAAATCTCTTACCTGTAATTTCATTGTCAAAGGATGCTTCGTTGACCAATGACTATCGTTATAGTGGGAACTACTTTGTGAAAAATAAGAAGAATAACGAACGTCTTATACGATTTGAGCAGTTCGATAAAACCATCCCGAATAGTCGTTCTTATGACATCATAACAAACTGAAGACAATATGGGTACTTTATAAAATCAAATATTCAATCAGTATTCAGCAAAATTAAAGGCTCCATAATTACGACTATTGTTCATAAGTTGACCGATTCATTAACACTTATCAAAAATAACGACATCCGATTCATCTAAATGTGTGGTTCATCGACTTATGAAAATATGATTATTGAATTCATAAAATAATTTCTATAAATACTGTTTAGAACGTTTTAGGCCTGTGAGATTCCATTATGAACGAACCTGGCTCCAGTTTCTTCATCCCTTAATAGTCAATAATTTAAGATACAAGATAAGCTATTCATTATTAGGTAATTGATTGCGTAAAATTACATTCACAGTTTCTGTTTGTGATGGCTATTATATTTAAATCTTTTTGTTCGATTTTTGAAATATTTTTAAGTCTATAATCTATATGTTGTTAGGCAGTATTTTATGATCCGAAAAATCTTTTTTTTGAAAGTCGTATTTCTGAGAAATGTAATAAAAAAGAAAACGGCATACACAGGCGTACTCTTAAATTCTTACTATCTTACAACTAGTTTTTGCTTATTTATTATTGTTTATAACACATTATCAAAATTGTGTGGGCCAGAATAAGTTATGTGAAATTCAATATCCAAATCGAATCAATTCATAATTTTTTACTACGCTTACTAAATCGGTGTTTTTTTACAAAACTATTTCAAAATACGAGATTAAATTCTGAAGCTCACGTGTAGGCTTTGAAAGAGGTATAATTATTTTACTTGCTTTCACGTGTAATGTAATGTAAAACTTATTTGAGGATATGCTATTTAACTCCCATTACTTTATAACACATTATTTCATTCATAGTAAATAATAAGGTAACATTACAATTTGCGATAATTCTTATTCATTACTTGATTGATTGATGTTTAACGCTATTTTCAACTAGTATGCTATTTCGTGGCGGTCAGATTTTATTGGTTGAGGATCCCGGAGTGCAAGGAGAGAACCACCGACATTCGGAAGGAATATTCTCATTTCATTTTAAACTTTTAAAAGTAAAACCAAGAAAGTACATTTATCACAGACAAAGAGGGTAATGACTGGAATTGGGACAACTAAGAGCTTCACATATTATACAGATATTTGTCTATTGTACAAGGCCGGATTGTAAAATTCAGGTGGTTTTTTTTTATTGATGTCCTTAGCATTTTTGTCTCATTGGTGTATATAACACAACCAAAATTTGTCCATAATATCCGGAAATCTTTGCTGTTATTTGTAATTCCTCTTTGTTGTATGCATTTAATAAAACTTCATACATTTGTGGTCATACAAACTTTTAATTTGAGATTCGTGTGGACAGTAAGTCCAAAGAGGATTTGACAGACAGCAAGCTCTGCTTATTTCCATTCTTCTTTATAAATTCATTCATTTCATAGTCCTGAACATACATGAAATATTTGCCACTGGACGTTAAGAAACCAACCAACAATCAATCAATCAATCATTCATTTCACTGCGATGGCAAGTTGATCAACAATTACGGAAAGCCTGTTTATAACAAAATGATGGTTTTATTCTATATTAACACATCTTTCAGTGCATGTGATCGTACTAGGTTCAATCCACGGTCGGATAAAACCAAAGACTTCATAACTGATAGTTGCTTGCTTCTCCGCTAAACACGCGGCATTTAGGAGTAATGCGAAGACTGGTCGGCTCAAGGTAAAACAAAAATGCCCAGCTAGGTCTGGTGTTCCTGGTAACTGTTACTGTGTGAACCAGCATGTTACAAATACGGCCCAGCTTGTTGATTTAGTACAAAGCAGGGTTCATATATTCATATCACATTAACATGTTCTCGTCCTGATATGCAATATTTACCACTGGATGTTAAACATCAACCAATCATTATCATTTTAGGCATGATCAGTTTTGGCCTTTTGTTGGTGGTTATCATCTTTTTTTTGTATTAGATCGATTCCAATACTTCTTCGCAAATATCGTTTTGTAAGGTCAATGGCAAGCCTAGTCGGTTTTTATCAGCATTTAGAATCGCCCAGCTTTCCTTAATCGTGAATATTATTCGAATATTGTTACCGTGATATTCCGTTTGGTTTTTCGAAATAAAATTAATAACACACACACATTTACAATGGCTTTGGTATTTAATGAGATGAATAAAGTCATAGTGACACTAGATTTATTTTTCCCTTCGTAAATATTCAGTACGCTTTTGGATTATTAATACCGGACGCGGATTAGATTCTAATGACACGCACTTGACCTTTTAAGACCAATGAACCGATGTTATCCAATCGGTCATGTCAACGGAAATGCCTACAAGCACATGTCGTTTACTAGCTTTATTGCAATTGAACTTTGACTTTGTCTTTAGATTTTTGTAATAACAGATGAACAAATGAATGAAAATTTGTCCAGTTTGTTACATGTTTGAAAACAAGATTCCTACGCTCAAGTGAAATGACCCCGTCGCTTTGTTAGAGTGCAATATTATAGTTATTATAACTAGGAAGCCATTGTGCAGAAGCGAAACGTCATTATCAAAGGCGGATTTAGGGGTGAATGGGCACAAGGCAGGAGCGGATCCAGGATTTTGGAAAGGGGGGCGAAGTTCATAAAATTTTTTGGACCTTTTTTTGGCTAAAAAACATAAAATAAGTGTAAAATGCACTTTTTTAACGGTTCCTGACGTGGGGCATGTATTTTTTATTGTTAAAGTGTAAGGGTTGGACATTTTTGATGCCGTATTGTCCCCATTAATTGTCTATTATAAAATGATTGGATGGACCAAAAGCTATGTAGTGATATATTTGATGTGGGACTTGTCAGTAAAAAATGGTCATGAAAAATTCTCGTTTGTTGTATGTTAAGTTAGCATAACCTCACAGATTTCTTGTTGAAAACAAGATATACGCCGGGTTATTCAATGAAATTTACAATACGACCGACACGAAGAAAGACAAACAAGCAATTCTTATCCAAATGTTTGGTTGAAATGTTTCACCCAACAAGGGAAGTGAGGGGTTCCAAATCAACCATAGGCTACGAATGAGTCGGAAATGACAACGAATTTATGAATGACGGTCGACAAATGGAGACCTAACGGCAACACCCAGCAGGCAGGTTGCAGTCGGGCCTTGAAAAAAGTATTTAATATATCAGTTCACCGAAACAGACATTCCGGTCAGATATGGGATTTAAATGCAAACCCCCAGCCCCAAAAAAATTACGCCCGTTTTTTATTCATCATGTTCATTTAATGCTAAATAATTCTGTTGGAAATTTTCGTTTCTAATAGCAAAAAAGTGGACAAGATTATTTTTTTCAATCCAGATACGGCCAGAATTTTTGTTTAAGGCAAAAATCAGGGTCAGAATTTTTTCTCTCAAATATCTCAGACTGCCCCCTCAAATCAAATGAGACATGAGAGTGTAATAGAGTATTACTTTCTGTTTGGTGGAATTGTGAAATAGAAGTCAATACGTTCTTGCTCTATCCCTTGTCGCTTTGAAGGTGTCATGCTTGTCATCCTCAGCCTAAGCAATGTGTTACTGTAATTTGAGTTTCAAAATGACTGAGTGACGTTTTTTCGACGAACTGGTCAACTCCACCGTAGCGAATCACATGACTTTGACATAATCAATAATATATTACAGCAAATACGAGCGAAAAATATATTTATAAGTAAAGAATTGTCGCATCAAAATTAGATACACGGGAAATGGCAAAGTTCACGAAGTCTATTCTGCTTAATCATTTTACAAAAAAAAAAAAAAAAAAAGTGCAAGCAAAGGGGGGGGGGGCGTACGCCCTCTACGCCCCCTCTGGATCCGCCACTGCAAGGGGCCCGGGCCTCCTTATGAAGCTTTCATATAGGATAAATGCATAGACTTTTTACAAGTATCACTCCAAACGTTGGCTTGCCAGTGGGCTCCCCTTTTTCAAAATTCTGGATCCGCACCTGATTATTAACGGACGTGATGGAACATTAATATCAGTATTTTACGCAAACATTTAACGATTATGAAAACATCGTATTCACTGCGAGAATATGAATTCCATACTCTTATAAGTACATGAATCTGCCGTTAAATTTAGTCCGGGCGTGCTTATGTGCGATAATAAACAAATATGTCGCACGTGAAATCCCGTTATGCAAAAGCCATAAATTAAACATAATGGCTGTATGATACATTTCCGGACTAACAATTCTAGTAAATATTAAAGCTGTTCGAATATCGGTCTTAATTTAGAGTCAATATGCTACAATAGGCTAAACTTTTGTCGAATTTAATAGCTCAAGAGCTGTAACATTTGTCAAGATAAATATAGATATATAGTATTTCAACTACACATTGTGAGAGGGTGGACAGAGGTAAGAAAACATGGGAATAGGCGGGGAGTGGGAGTCAGGGGCGAGAACCGAGGTAGAGGGATATTCTGGGACATTTTTTTTTACCGATGTTCGTCTGGGAGAAAGGGGCGGGAATTGGGATTTGGGGTAGGGAAGTTGGAATTGGGGACCCCCTGTCTACTTTCTCCATAATGACAAACAGTCTCACTGAGTAATACAAAATTGGCTTTCGGATACACTATCTTAGAAGAATAGTCCAAGGACACATAATATCATTTTTTGCTACAAAAGACATGAGTGCCCTGATGTAGCTGAAATGCCTCGTCTGCTTTACTGATTAGGACTAAACTTTATGCTGAAAACCTGTAAGGTCCCCAGATGACAAAAATGAGAAAACCAAGTGACTGGTTTATGCTACAATAATAAACGGAAAAAAAACCAGGTTAAACATGAACCCTCGCCAAATCTGGGACAGTGGTGTAACAATTCCACATAAGAACAAACAAATACCCTTTGGAAAGGGCTCGACTCGTCATATTGTTAATAAGCATATAACAAATAATGTTTTTTATTCATTTATATTTTATATTTCTGCATTATC